TTCAGAATGTAAATATATTGTTTAAGGTTGTGCATTATCATAAAGTAGCACCGAATTAAATACGTTTATGGAAATATATTGTTTAAGGTTGTGCATTATCATAAAGTAGCACCGAATTAAATACGTTTATGGAAATATATTGTTTAAGGTTGTGCATTATCATAAAGTAGCACCGAATTAAATACGTTTATGGAAATATATTGTTTAAGGTTGTGCATTATCATAAAGTAGCACCGAATTAAATACGTTTATGGAAATATATTGTTTAAGGTTGTGCATTGTCATAAAGTAGCACCGAATTAAATACGTTTATGGAAATATATTGTTTAAGGTTGTGCATTGTCATATAGTAGCATCGCATCAAATACGTTTATATTGCTTAAGGTTGTTCATTGTCATAAAGTAGCATCGGATCAAATACGTTTATGTCGTTTAAGGTTGTTCATTGTAATATAGTAGCATTGAATCAAATACGTTTATATTGTTTGAGGTTGTTCATTGTTATAAAGTAGAATCGGATCAAATATGTTTATGAAAATACATTGTTTAAGGTTGTGCATTGTCATATAGTAGAATCTGGCTAAATACTTTTATTGAATTGTATTGGGTAAGGTTGTGTATTGTCATAAAGTAGAATCTGGCTAAATACGCTCATTTCAGGTTAAAAAAAATTAACATTATTAGAACTCTTCATTCTCATCCACCAGAATGAAGTTTTATTTGAAGATTTTTTTTGGAACGTTTCGAATAGTGTGTGTTGCTTCTGCTACGAGTTAAAATGACGTCATCTTATAATTAAAGTCAACCTTGAAGTTATTTTGGGATTACCTTTGAAACCTGGGTGTTCCTGTGTTCGGAATTTTTCACAGCGTTTCATAAGACAAACGTAATAAACGTACTGATAACATTCTTACCATTGTTTACATCATGACCCAAACAACCACAGTCTCATAAATCAATGTTCCACAAACTGGTGTTTATTTGTTTTTCAATATTCAAGCATACAGTTGTGGAAGGGTAAAATTCTGAAATGGTGCCCCCTTCCCCCCAAAAAAAAGCGTCAAGGAGTTTTAGGTTTCTCATTTAGAACCAATTACATGTGGTGGTTGGTAAAATATTCACGTCTTCATGCAGTTCCTTCTAACTTCAGCGGAATCCTTTTCCAGTATCACAGTTATTATTTAGGTTCACGTGTTTGAAGTCTTTATTTCTGCTCGAATTTAAAGATATATACAAAGTTTAAAATTTAACTGTCATAAGTCAAGGATCGACCTCTCTTCAATCATACCTTTTAAAGTGAGCTTTTTTATGAAAGCACATGAGTGACTGGCATCATTTAGAGAAATATAATTTGAACAATCACTTATATGTAATTTCATGTCTAAGTTTTATGTTGACTGGTGGTTAGGGGCGCTCGCCTTACAACCTGTGACGGTTAATCTCAATCATAGCATTCGTTGTAAAAGAGTAGCTCAAGAGTTGGCGGTGGGTGATGTTAACTAGCTGCCTTTCGTCTAGCCTATCACTGCTAAATTAAGAACAGCTAGCGTAGATAGCCCTCGAGTAGTTTCGTGCAAAATTCATAAACAAATAGACAAACATTCGTTTTATGTTACATATTATGATTGTTGATGAAGTAATACGTACCAGCAATCTGCTTTAAAAAAAACAGAGGTTGAAATTTCCTCAGCCAGTACCCTCCTAGATACTGAAACACAAGAAAAAGATACACACACACACAAAAGCAGTACCCTCCTAGAT